ACACGTCTGCGGCACGCGGAGCGGCCCCGGGCGGAGGCGCCAGGTGAGACGTGGGGTCGGGTGCAGCTTCCTGGTGCAGCCACCGGGAGGAGGTGGGTCTGGCTGCGGCAGCCCCCGGCCCTCCGAGGCCGCGGCCTCTCTGGCCTGCGAGCGGCCGGCCGGGGAGAGTGGCATTGCCGGGGTCGGGGGGGGCAAGAGGGGCTGTCCCCGGCCCACCGACCGCTGGGTCCAACCCTCGGAGGGGCGGCCAGAGGCCGGAACTGCCCCCCAGCTCCTGCTGGCCGCCTGAGGACACCCCAGGGCCCTTTCGCTTCCCGGCGGCCCCTAGCAGGCTGCTCCTCTTCGCCTTTTATTTTCTATTTTTTTAAGGTTGGGGGCATCGGCCGCACTTCAGGCCCCGACCTGTGGGCTGGGAGGAGCTGAGGTCCACTCGCCAGGCTCTGACCGTCTTCCTGGGCTCCAGAGGCCGCCAGGACTCTCCCTTTGTAAGTCCTGGGCTCCTTGGAGGGGCTTTGGGGGCAAAGGGGTGTAAGGTATGTGGAACCCGTTCTCACACCCTCCCAGGAGGCTCCCTGGGCCTGGCAGGTGTCCTTGGTGGGCAGCGCAGCCCCAGTCTTCTGTGACATGGTGTGACCGTCATGTGGGGGTTGGACACAGGTTTCCTGGGCAAGCGAGTGAAGTCCTCCAGAGCCTGGCTCTAGCACTTCACCAGCTTCTGGTGGCTTTGTCCAACCAGGACGACTTGAGAACCACAGTCTACATCAGTCAGGAATGTGTTCTGCTGGACATGACAGGAACCACTGTCCCACGCTTGATAGATTGGGGTTGACTCTCCTCATACCCAGAAAAGCCCACAGGTGGGCAGTTGGTGTGAATTTGGAGACTCAGCATCATCAGGGCTGGTGTTGTGGGATATATGGGATGTAAGGTGGCTGCTGCAGCTCCAGCCATCACATCAAAGCAGGAAGAAGGAGGTGGCTACCGTTTCTTTCATGAAAGCAAAAGCCCCCCTCACTCCCTGCTGCACCTCGACACTTTGCCCACATCTGGGAAAGCAGGGACCAGGGTATTAAGCTTGTTTCAGCCCGTGGCTGTCACTTGGGGCTAGCACATTGCTGCCTGGCCTGAGGAGGGAGGGGATGGATGTAGGCAGGCAGCTAACAGAGTCGGCCCATAGCGCCTCTCCTGGACACACCCTGGGAATTCAGAACCCACACTCAGCAAATGCTTGGTCTTCCTCCAGGCTGAGAACGGCCTGAGTGGCTGCAGCAGAGCCAGGGCTCCTGCCTGGAAGACAGGCTTGGTGGCTTTGAGACAAGCTCCCTTCCTTCCTCCCTGCTGGCCTGGGATTTGCGGAAGGCCGAGCACAGAAGCAGGGTCGGGGTTGAGAACTGCCTGGCTCGTGAGCTTCTGGGTTGGCTTCTTAAGTGGCTCGCTGTGCCTTCAGGCCTGTGTCCAAGATTACCTGGGAAAGGTCAGTCCCAGGCCGCTGGGGGCTGGGCAAAGTCTCAGACTCTAGAAGTGAGGGGCCTCCCGGGCCCCTGAACCCCCAGCAGGCCTGGGGGCCCCCCAAGGCCTGGCTCCTCCCACAGTGGCAGATGGGGGAGGGGCTGCAGTTCGGACAGGGCAGAGGACACAGCTGCTGCTGCTGCCTGGGCCAGCCAGCCCTCCTCCCCCACCAGACAGGCCGTACCAGCCACCCCCATGCCCGCCCGCCCGCCTCATCCCTGTCTTCCCAGTCTCCAGGGAGTGGCTCTGGGGCCTTATCTGTCAGGAATGGGGAGGAGAGGAAGGCAGTTATCAGACTCAGCCAGCAGGCCCCAGCCAAGGACCGTGGTGTCCTGGTGTCCTGCCTCGAGGGTGGCAGCAGCTGTGCCGGGAGGGCCCCCAGGGAGTGGGCTGGGTGGAAATGCAGCCGCTCACATTCCTGAGGGCAGGGTTGGCGGACTTTCAGCCTCCCTGGGGTGGAATTCCTGCATTGCCTCCTCCCGTGTGACCCTGGGCAAGTGGCTTGACCACTCTGTGTCTGGCCGCCTCGTAAGCCAGATGAAAGGAGGTGGTGAAGGAGCTGGCCCTCCTTAGTGCCTCCCTGCCCCCGTCCCGCACCCAGGCAGACCCTCACCCTAAAAGCAGCCCCACTTGGAGCCTGCCACTGCCTTCACCGGGCCTGCTGTACCGTGAAGTCAGAGGCCTGAACGCCTGCCTCGGTCGCCCCGCCCCGCCGCCGCCCGCAGCATGCAGCCGCAGGACAGCAGCGTCCAGTACAGCAGGTGGGACAACAGCCGAGATGAAGTCAGCGTGGCCGCCGTGTCCAGCACAGAGGAGGCCTCGGGTTGTGAGAGGTGAGGGCGCCACAGGCAGGCCTGCCCTACGCCTCCTCTGGGTCAGCCTCCGCCCCTCGCTGCTGGGTCCCACCCCCGCAGTCTGAGCAGACCGGGGCCCCGCACCTCCGTCTTCACCCGCTCAGCTCCCTCCTGTCTCCCAAGTCCAGCAGAGCCCCCAGGCCACCCTCTTTGGGAGCCCATCTGCCCCCAGGCCCACTCCTACCCCAGCCCAGACTCCCCCAGTCCACTCGGGCCCGCCCGGGCTCACGGGCTGGTGGTTCTCACCCTAGGATCTCCCGGAAGCTGTGCTCTGGCAAGCTGGGCATCTCCATGAAGGTGCTGGGCGGAGTGACCCTCTTCTGGGCCGTCTTCATCCTGGGCTACCTCACCGGCTACTACGTGCACAAGTGCAAATAGTGGTGCCCAGCGTGCACGCTTGGAGTGGCTGCAGACTTGGCACAGGAGGGACACCGCTGTATACAAGAAACCCCTCTGTATACATGGACCCCCATATATACAAACCTTCCTATACACGGCTTCCCTTGTGTACACAGACCCCGCTCCATATACATGGACCATTCGTATACACGGATCCCCATATACACAGACCTCCCTAAACACAGCCCCCCTGTAGACACAGCCTCCCCTGTATACACGGACCCCCTGTATACACAGATCCCCCTCCATGTACACAGACCCACTTGTATACACGGATCCCCATATACAAAGACCCTCCTAAACAAAGCCCCTCGTGTATACACAGCCTCCCCTCTATACATAGACCTCCTTAAACACAGCCTCCCCTGTGTACACAGACCCCCCCATACACAGACCCACTTGTACACACGACCCTCCTAAACACAGCCCCCCTTTATACACAGACTCCCTTCCATATACACAGACCTTCCTATACACAGCCCCTACCTATATACACAGACCCCCACCACCCCATACACAGATCTCAGGGGCAGACACAGCTCACAGGGCACGCATATTGGCCCCAGGTACAGGCAGACACCAGTGTGCTCAGCAGTCACAGGACCCCACAGGGGCACACAGGCAAACATGGACACGGATACACAAGGCACAGGCAGCCACCCAGGGGCACATGGCTGGGAGATGGGCCCAGCCTGAGCTGGGGCTGCAGGACACACCCAGGCCAGACCTGTAGCCCAGGGCACCCCACTGCACAGGGCAGCCATCCTCCCCCCACTGTGGGCCCAGGTCTGGCAGCCTCAGGGTGGCGTCCTCCCTGGGTGGGTGTTGTGTAGGCCTGTGTGGCCCTGGGTGGGCCCCTGCCCTCTCTGGGCTCTTCTGACTCCCACTGTGCAAGGACGGCTCTGAGTGGAGCTGTGTCCCACTTCTTGCTCTCTGAGAGCCTGAGATCCCGTCCTGGAAGTCATTTCTTGGGCAGATCGCAGAGAGAGGCCTTGGCCCTTGTCTCAGACCCCTAACGTCTTTGCTCCAGTAAAGTGGGTGTGGTTCTCCCTGGGCTGTCCACCTCCCAGGGGTGGGCCCAGTGGGAAGGCCTGGCTCCTCCCCCTGTGCCGAGCACACACAGCCTGCAGGGTCATTAAACGTCTGTTGAATGAAGGATGGATGACAGCCTCTCCCACGGGTCCCCCAAGCCAGGGGTGACTCTCAGGCGGCACCCACCTGACGGGAGGCCAGCTGGAGGGTATCTGGACAGAGGCCAGGAGGCCTGTGGGAAGGGTCTGTGCCCCCTCCCACTTGGCTCTGGGCCTTGGGATGTGCCCCCTCCTGGTTGGGCCCTCTGGCAGGAAACGAGAACATGGGGCAGGCCTGAAGGCCAGGATGTGGCCAGACCTGTGCCTGCCTCACCTAAGCACGGACAAGGCCTTCTCTGACTCTGGGGCCGCTTCTGCTGCTGCCAGGCCTTCAGTTCTGTCTCCTGGTCCCCTGTTCTCAGTAGATGCCCTCCTGGGCCGCACACTCGGCCCTCACCCACTGCAACCTTGCATCTTAGGCCCCACAGACCCTTGCCAGAAACATCTTAGGAAAGTCCCTCATCAGGACTGAGCGTGGGAGTTGATCGACAGTCATGGTCCTTGTGGGCCTGAGATTGGAGGCCATTTGGCAAACCTGATGTCAGAGGCCAGGCTGGCAGGGAGGGGCAGAGACCCTACAGGACCGGCCTTCGTAGACGGCAGGCCCGCTGGAGGTGTGCCCAGGCCAGGCGGACGTCAGGTGGGGCTGCACAGCCAGGGTCTGCAGCACCAGGTGATCCCTGGCTCTGGCCCCAGGAGGGTGGCCAGGCAGGGGGCCGAGAGCGGCGCTTGGCGGGTGTGCCTGTCCTGGGCTGGGGTCTCCAAGCAGCGATGCTTCAGCAGGGGCTGGCCGTGGGGTGAGGACAATGCAAGCAGGTTAAGGGGCAGTGGCAGAAGGTCTAGTCCAGTGAGCCCTGGTCTCAGCCTTGGCACCTGTCTGTAGAAGAGACCCCCCACCTTCCATGCCTTTCTGGCCACACTTGGGGAGGGGGGGTGCCAGCTGACCCACACTCGTGTGGCCTCACCCTGGCACCCCAGCTGGAGTCCCTCCCTGCCATCACAGGATGGGCGCTGGGGTGGGGGCTGTGGGGAGGTGGGCAGAGGCCACTGGCCTAGCACAGTTGGGCTGCGTGGCCTCTGTGGGCTCTAAGGGGTGGGCAGTCTGCTCCGGAGCTGCAGGGGCTGGGCCTCCCCAAGGCCTGGTGCAGCCTCGGCCAGGAGCTGCGCAAGGCTGCAAGACAAGGGAAGTGGGGTCCTGGCTGCCCCCTGCCACTCCTCCTCCGTCTCTCTCAAGCCGCTCTGGCCTCCCTGGTTTCCAAGATGCCCTGCGGGCTCCAGAGCCACACTCCCTAGGCAGTCCCCAGGCAGACGTAGGTCTGCTGAGGGACAGGTCAGATGCAGCTGGCGGAGACAAGGCAGAAGCCCAGCGGGGACGGGGCGAGGGGCATTGAGCAAGTGCAGCTCATGCATGAGGGGCACTGCCCGGGGCCAGAGGGGAGGTGACCTCGTAGTCTCCAGCTCAGTCCAGCACCGCAGGGCAATCCTTGCAGGTCTTCACAAACCCCTCCTCCCTGGGGTTGGGGGACCCCGAGGGCAGTGGATAGCAGAGGCCAAGGTGGGGGGTCCAGCCTGAATTGGGCCAGTCAAGCCCGGTGCACCAAGGCCCAGCAGGTCCATGAGCCTGGTGCACCAGCCTGGCTGGTGGATGCAATGTCCCCTGCCCGTGGGCTCCACCAACACTGCTTACCTGGCCCCTGTTGGGGGGCTGCAGGCAGTGGCCCTCGGGATGCACACCACTTCCATGCCAGCTGCCTCCATGAAAACGTGACCCCCTGGGCCCCAGCCGGATGGAGTGGTCAGGCTGCAGGCAGTGGTTCACGCCCCCCAGTCCCCCAGGCCATGTAACCTGGGTGGAGTCCTTACAGCCCTGGGAGGATTGGGGAGAGGATGGACAAGACCCTGCTGAGTCCCTGGCCAGCCTCCTCTCCCACAGAAGATTCAGAAATGGGATGATCTGCTGGGGTGGGTCCTTTGCACATGCCCCTGGCTGGGGTCCACCTGGGGCTCCAGGCCAGGAAGGCCCAGCAGGGTGGGGCAGGATGCTGCAGTAGGCTGGTTCCCAGGTTTCTAGGATCCCAGGGTCAAGGGCAGCAGCTTCTCTGTGCTGGGCCTGTGTGACAGCAGTTAAGTGCCTCTTGCTCTGTGCTGGCAAGATGTGGGCTGGGAAGGGGGTGGGGGGAGTCCCAGGTCCTCAGTTCCCCCACAGACACTTCCAACACCCACCTCCAGAAATACCAGCAGGAAAGGATTCACTGGGAAGGAGTCAAGATGTTCTTATAACATAGTTTTTATTAGAGGGTCAGACTGGCAAAGAAAAAGAACGTCAAAAAGGTTTTCTGTAAGTGAAATACATTTCCAAATCTCACACAGAATCAAGCTGCATCAGAAAAGAGAACAGCAGATGCTGGTGGCTTCATCAACATGAGGTCACAGATGTGACACAACATGGCCAATGAACCCTTAGTCTTGGGAGCCAAGAGGGTAGCTTGGCCGCGGCCCCCAGCTGGGAGCTCCTAGCAGGGCTCGGCTGTGACCCACAAGCCCAGGGACACCTCACACCAGCCATAGCATCAGCAGCCTCCACTGCCCACAGGTCATGAAATGACAAGGCAGAGCCATCAATACACAGATATTTGGTAGGTTTTGGGGGGAAACGAAACAGAAGGAAAAGCTGTCATTGGGAACGCCCACTCCAGCCCATCTGAGCAACTGCCACCTCCAGGCGCTGATGGGAAGGCTTGGTGGTGGCCTGAGAGCCAGGTCAGGGTCTCAAGGCAGCCCCGCTTGTGTCCTACAAAGAGGATTGGCCCAGCTCTGGGAAACCATGTGGCTCTGCTGGTATGCCCACCATGTGGGGTCTTGGGCCTCACACGTGTCTGGTTCTGACAGCTAAACGCATGGGGTCAGCAGGGCTCTTGTGAATGCTCCCGAAATATCGTCTATCGTTTCTATAAAACTCACAAATTGTCCTTTGCAGGTCAAAGAGCATCAAACAAACAGTGTCATTACACAACGAGCTGCTAGGTCAGCTCTCCTAGCCCAGCCGGCCGGTAAAGCAGCGGGGTCGGCACACACCGCCTGCTCGGGGAGGGAGTGTGCTCCCGCACACAAACAAGTGCACACACACACGGCGGCCTGCAGCCTGAGACGTTCAAAATGGGAAAATGCTGAAGAACCATTCCTCTGGCGCACATTTCCATTTCTGGCTGCAAACCCTCAGGCCCTCTCCAGTCGCCGCCACCATCTATCCTTCCGCCGGCTGACAGCTTACACACAGAACCATCCTGTCCGGTCACGTAAACCTACTCTGCAGGGGAAACCTGCACATCTACCGCGAGACACAGGCTCTGCCGTCTGCTCGCCCGCTCGCTGCTAATTTACAGTAACTACAGCCCACAGCTCCTCCTCCTTTCTCGGCGGGCACGGCAGGCCACACTGTGGGGCTGCTTGCTAGAGGACGCTGCATCTCCACGCCCCTAAAGCTTCCAACAGCAACATTCAGAAAAATGATCTTGCCAATTCTAAAGTCACATTAAAAAAGTCTTTTTAATAAAAAGATTGTGATGTGCTACAGGCTGGATAATACTATGTCAGTCCACATCTGTAAGCTGTGCTGTTGGCACAGGATGATTTTAAAAGATGCTGTATCATAGAAAAATAATTGTGCAGTTCAATAAAATGCATGTCGTTCAGCTTCTCAATTTAGAACTGAATATTCAAACCAATTATAGTCTTTTTTCCCCCCATGAATTATTTGCTGTGTGTCTACATGATTTGAGAACGTTTTGAACAGTCAATTCCGATATTCAAGTAATTTCATAAAAAGCATTAGTAAAATCAGTTTGGTGCTATAAAGGCAAATCAATTTAAGCACATGACAACATGGCACCCTTTACAACGGAATCGTCTGGAAAACTGAACAAAGAATGCAGCTATCTTAAAAAATACTGAGGTGAAAATGTAACAAATAATTTAACACCACCACATATAAACCCCATAGAAAGACACAGCTGACACCACGTATGACTGGGAGCTGGCTGGCACGGAGCCACAGCCCGGCTTCTCAGCGGATCACGGTCACGTGGGAAGCCGCCGCCGTGTCCAGGTCCGTCTTGGACGGGTACACCACCTTCAGGTGCCCCTCCTCGTCCACCACACGGACCTGCTCCACCACCAGTGGGGAGGGCCCGTCATTCTCAGCACAGGGATTCATTCTGGGAGCTGCAGGTTGTCCCGAAATTGCATCAGCTTCAGTGTCTGAGAGTGAGCCTTCCTCCTTATTTTCCAAAGTGTATTTGTTGATTTCTGCCATTTTCTGCAAATGAAAAATAAATTTTTAACCTAGAGATTACAGGTAATCCAGAGAAGACCGCTGCAAGAGGCAGCCGTTGCAAAATGTGACAGGAAACAGGACATGCTATCCCTCACGGCCAGCGGCCGAGAAGACGGGACCGCAGCACTCACCAGAACGAGGGCATCCATGATATCTTTGCATATCTGCAGACTAGTAGCACTTGTTACTTCCAGAAACAAATCAGAGGTTGTTTTCTTAACCTTAGAAAGAAATTAGATTTCAGAAAAAAATAAAGTTATCAAAACTAGACATCAGCAATTGCAACACTTAATCTGAAGAAAAACCAGTAAAATGTCACCCGAACCAAGACTATCACCTTCCTACAGAGAGACACAAACTGGAAGGCTGCCCTTGAGGTAAGTCCTGGGGCAGCGCCAAGCGTGAGCCGTGGTGCGCGCTCTGAAGGCCACAGCGGCCCGGCGCGGGGTCTGCCCTTGTATCGTGCACGGGGGGGCCCTCATGGGGGACAGACACCTGTGTTAACTCTGCACGTGAAACAGCCTCAAAGACACACAGATGTCCAGAGACTCGGCCCTACCTTCGTCTTCTCACTGTTGGTTATCGGTGGGAAAGAAATCACGTCACCATCTGCATCCACAAGGCAAGGGTAGTTTTCTTTTCCATCCAGTAGGTGAAGATATCTGTGTGGGAAGAAATAACCACAGGCAGAGCTATGAAAGCATACCTAAAGCTTAAACTGGACAAATCACAGTTCTTTAGACAAAGTGAGTGTAAGACCAGGGGCACGTTTAACAAGCTTACGAGAAGCCTGCGTTTACACAGGGCAGCAACAGGTTTCCGCCTAACGAAGGCAGGTCCAAGGACCCCCACTGGGCAGCGACCCGAGCCACCCAGGATCTGACACACCATGGCAGGTCTGGTTGTCTGACTTCCTGTGGCTAGTGGGTGACGGCATTTCCCTCGTCCCTTGTGTGTCTCTCTCTTGTGGGCGCTTGGGCACGTCCCGAGGGCCACCCTCCCGTGAGATGACACAAAACCTGCATTCCCGGCACCTGGATCGCTGAAGCAGCGCCCATCTCCCCACATGTCCGAGCCGGGGCCCGTCTAGATGAGACTGATCTAATGGTATTTCCTATTACCCCACGCAAGAACCCCTGACAGGGGAGTGACAGAAGCTTGGGGAGATTTCTTTTGTCTTTCTTTTCAACACCTGCAAGGAGTTTTCAAGTTTCAGGAGTGTTAGGAGTTTCCTAAATGGCATGAGTTAATGAACGGAGGCTGGTGCGTTGTGATCCCCCAAGAGTGCACCCCTTGGGGCCCGCAGTGGTCCCAAGACCACCCCCGAACCTCACCGCCAGCAGGTCCTCCCCTGTGGGAGCGCGCGCAGACTGACCTGTGCAGGCCCGAGACGTTCTGCCTCTTCTTCTGCTTCCTGTGCTCCTCGGCCTCCTGCTGCAACTGCCGCACCAGGTCCTCGGCCTTGACTTCTCTCCGCCCCAGGGGGACGATCTAGGGCGAGAAACCTCGCGGTCAGCTCATGTGAAAACAAACCTGCACCGGGATCCCAGCCACAAAGCACAGCCATCCTGCCATTCGCTCTGGCCGTCAACGCCAGTGACGCCTCTCATCTCTCCTCCATTCGCCTCCACGACGGGGAGAGGCGGCCGAGAGCGGACACTCCTCTGAGCGGAGAGCAAGCCGACTGAGCACAGAACCGCCCTCCACATCACACGTGAACACACTGCGCTTCAGAGGCCACCTCAGGACCTGAGGGCCAAACACTCCAGCACTTCCCAGCTGAGTGTGACCCGCAACCTGCCAAGCACACAGCCGCGTTTCCAGGGCGTGCAGGTCCTGAGGAGGCCACGGGAGGACCAGGCCAGCAGCCGGAGCTGGTCACGTCAGGCGCACAGCTCGGCACCGAGGTCCACCTGGCGGCTGCCAGGAACCCCCACACCCACGGACCTCAGTGGCTGCACAGACCAGAAGCAGGACCGCAATGGAACAACTTACACTGAAGTCAACCTCGAATTAGGAGTTTTGCAAGTGGGATATAAACCACAGTTTTTGGTTAAAAGTTAGTGAGCAAATGAAAAAAACCACTTTCAAATTACTACTTCCTTTGATGAGTTTGCTTGCAAAAGTAACTGTAAGCACGGCCCGTTTCATTATTGTACTTTGTGTACTTGCTAGGAGCAGTGTCAGATTCTACTTTAAAATACTCCAACGCAACCATTAGCAAGTGTATTTTGAAAAACACCAAAGGAACACCTCAAATCCCCAAAATAGGAAGGGATGTGTGGGTCACCTTGAGGTCCTTCGGCGGGCGAGCAGCGTACAGCAGAGGCCCTCGGACAGCTCTGAGGTCGTGGGTTGCGATGGTGGCCACTGTTCTCTTCTCACAAAGGTCCTCGTGGAGCTTTGTCTGCAACACAGAGCCCAGGTGAGCGAAGCTCGGGGTGCCTGGGCCGGTGAGGTGCCAGCCGGGTCGTGGGCCAGGAGCCCCCCACAGCGTGCCCCCCAATACCCGCAGCCTCTCCCAACCAAATATTTCTCATGTGGAACCACCACTGGAAAACTACTTTATCTGTTCATCAACAGGATTCCTTCTTTCTCTACCTCTAAAACACAATGTTTGAGGCTTCTAAGAGTACACCTTGAACTAAAATTTATGACTGAATAAACAAAAGTGCAACTTAAAAAGAAGAATTACCCCAACACGTTTTTCTTCCAAAACACTGATCTTGGAGTTCTAAACGCCAGGCAGGGCGTGCCGCACGCCTCCTCCCTGAGCGCAGCAGCCGGAGTCCTGAGACACAGTACATGAAACTCCAGGAAGCCGCCTCTGCTCCCGTGGGGCTGCACCTGGGGCTTTTTCCCATGCGCAAAGATGTGCTTTTTATTTTAAAAGCTGGGCAGACCTCACAGAAAAACAACCAACTGGGAAGTTCATCTAGCTAAAACCTAAACAATTCACATAAGAACATGCTGGCAAGACTCGACAATTTTAATGCTATCTTACACGGAACTAAATGTGTAATTTAATACAGAAATCAGAAAAACCACCAAAATATCAGAAACTCGAGGAACACTGATTTTCCACCGCAACAAATCTGTCTTCAAAAATAAGGCTCAACTGTAAGAGTCGAGCATGACAGAGCAGGAGGCGGCGACCACTCCCGACCAGGCACCGTCCAGACACACAGGGGTCGTGTCTGCTCGAGGCGCACTCTCGGTGTGCCAGCTGCCTGGTGGGCCATGTGGGTTGAGGCCCAGGGTGACGAGCCTTGAGGAGTGCTCAGGACCCAGGTCAGTCCTGTTCACTGCGCACAAACTCCTCACAAACACCAAGAGCCCCCCTTTTGCAGGTGAGGAAACTGAAGCACGCAGAAGTGACAGGCCAAGGTCACCCAGCCCCACGACCTCTCCTCCCCACACCCCCGAGCGGCATCCACAGTGCACACCCCGTGTCCTCGCCACATCTGCTGGCCGTGCGCACCCACCTGGGAGGTGAGGAACCGCTTGAGCGCGTTGCCGGCCTGCAGGTCCATGCCCCTCACAACGGCGCCCACAATGAATGGCCGGACGTCCCCGACCTCGGGGCTCACCCTGACCATCAGTGGGGCAGGGCTCTCCGAGATGTGCAGGACCCTGAGCAGCAGCCTGCTGGCGTGGTCCACCTCCTCCTCCTCGCCCTCACCACTCTCCTTCTTCTTCCTCTCCCTCCTCTTCCTCCGGCCCTCTTCCTTCTCGGGGCCCTCGGCCTTGCCCTTGCCCCGCCCGCTGCCCCGGCCTCCGACGCGCAGGTACTCCAGGATCGACCTGGTCTGGCAGCCGCTGACCATCTTCTCCAGGCGCCTGTCCTTCAGCTTGTTGCCCCGGAAGTTGATCTCCTTGAGCTTGGGGCAGTCGGCCAGCTCCGCCGGGATCTCACTGAGCTGGTTGTTGGAGAGGTCCAGCATCTGCAAAAGACCGAGAACACGTCAGATGCCCTGGACCTGGGCCTGGCCCAGGGACGGGGAGGAGTGCCCCTTACTCAGCGAGGGCCCCGCTGCCCATCAGCCACAGCACGCCCCTCGGCCAGTGCAGCTGCGACACGGCAAGACCTGCTTTCTTGGTGCCGCATGCCCTGCGAGTCCGAGCCACCCCGTCCCCAGCTCTGTCCCAGCACCAACATCCTAAGGAACAGGAGTTGGCAATGGTTACCAATCATCTCTATAAAATACTGGTCTTACTCTTCCTGGGACCACACGTTCCCCAGAGGGACCAGCTACGGTAATTTCCAGATGGATGGTTAGGTTAGAGAGACAAGGGACAAGGGGAATATTGGGTTATGAACAACTTAAGTTCTTTGGATGAGAAATCGGTTCCTCACAAAATGATGCTAAGATTCTTTTCAGTTAAATGAGCTAAAATGACAGAGTAACAAATTACTCTTCATATTGAAATACGAAGTCACCAGCAATACAACACACAATGCTCTCATATTTCCTGTGTGCAAAAAAATGGCTAACTGGCTTTAATACTGGGATGGTTCTCAGCCCTTCCTTATGACCCAGGAAAAGGGCATGGGGCACTGCTATCTGTGTCGTAAAAAGGCTCAGGAAACGCTACAGCCCAGGCGCAACAACCTTCTATCAGCATTGGTGACTAGACTTTGACAAAATGTGTGGCTGGTGTCAGTATGGACACGATGAAGACAAGCAAAGCAGCATCTTATACGGTCACAGCGCCTCTCTCGGAGCCGTGGGGGCGGGATGAGGACACCAAGGTGCCACCTTACGTGGTCATGGCGCCTCTCTCAGAGCCA